TGACCTCGAACAGTTTTGGTTTGGTATTTTAACCATTTTACTCTAAAAATCAAAAAAAAAAGGGATTTGTTATGTAATCGTTATAAATATTATGAGAACAATCTATTTAGTTTGGCTACTTGTAATTTATGAATAAACATTTGTGTGTGAATTGAAGTTTCGTTTTCGTCACTTATTCGCTTATTAATCCTGACTCTTATATGATCGTATGCGTGTTAATTACTTACCTAATTCATTATGTGTCTGAATATAAATATTGAGTAATGCTTGATCGAATTCAGTTGACTCACTCGCCTTCTCCACTGCGTGTTAGTTCGCTTCACTCTCTCCTCTTCTCTTCATTTCTCTGATCGTCTGTCCGGATCAACGATTGTATGAGATATACTTATTCGAAATCCATTCTCATATTTAACTTAGTTAATTCCATTATTCATCAACAGAAGTGAATTTGATAGTTATGTACGAGGGTAGTCCGAATGTATATCACGATAGTAATCATTCACACAATCCAACTGGACTCAGATACCGGGTCACCTAGGTTGATGAGCTAATCGAAACCCCATTGATAACATAATCGTCCGATCTAATTTGTTTTCAAAATGAAGTGCCTTATTAGGACTAGACCAAAATTTAGAAATAACATGCTTACACAAACAAATATTCATGGTAATTATTATGATTTCAACTTTAAATAGTGTTAAGTAGATGTAAATTGATTTAAGACACTAAATAAAAATATTGCAAATATATATGTGATATGCAAGAACACTGTACAATATGGATATTAACTTCACACCAGTGAGCTAGGAACAAGTGATTACATAGTGAACAAACGCTAGTAATATGTAAGAATGAAATAATATGGGGATATTTCAATAGTTGAGATCATGAGTCAAATGAAATTAGACCACCATGGAAAACCTGGAAGCACTGGTTGGCCGTTTCGTCCTAGTATGAGACTCTTCGGCAGTGCGCATCCACAGCCTTGATCCCCGCGTGATTCGAACCCAGGACGTATTAGTCTCACGCGCGAGCGCTTAACCTCTTGACCATTGAGCTGGTCGGCATCCAACGGTGTTAATGTCTAATTTCAACCAGTCCACCAGTGGAGTTAAACCGGGTCTTTTGTGAGATGGTAAGTCACTAATGATAATGATGGACGATGTCGCAACTTCTTATATTGGTTGAGTTTAGACATTAACAGTATTGGATGCCGGCCGGCTCAATGGTCTAGTGGTTAAGCGCTCGTGAGCAAGACTGATAGGTATGGAAAAAAGAGGCATGAAGAATTCAGAAGATTAGAATTTGGGAGAACACAAAGAGTGGATGCACCTGCGTCACCTGAGTGATTTCATTCAAGGTCTCTATCCATCGATCGCTATCGTTTTATACTTTTTAGCTTAATTTCTTTCATGTTCTTTCTTTCTTATGTATTTTACATTATACTACTGAATAATATTCATTATTTAATGTTATTAGTAGTCATTTTGGAACTTGTAGTGATGAGACTATTATTTATGGACATCCTTAAAGCGATGCCTAAGTGACTTTGAGAATGTCCACCCACGAACTATAGTTAAATGAGGGTTTTAAACCTGTGTGAAGGATAAGGATTATGATTTGCATTTTATGTTTAGGGATACGGATTAGACTAAGGGTTTTCATCACGAACTGACGTCAGCTAAAATGCCAAGACGCTATTTACCCAAATGGATAAAGAATGTTGAAATCCTGTTTTTTTAACATTAACACCATTGGATATTGTCTCAGCAGTCTAGAGGTCAGGCATTCACATGTGGAACCGAAAGTACTATACTCGAGTAGTGAGCGTGGGATCGTAGATGAGCACTGTTGAGAAGTCCAATACTAGGACGAAATAGCCATCCAGTACTCCCAGGTTTTCAATGGTGGTCTAACAATGATTGATACTCACTATGTTTTGAATAAGTACACAATTCCTTGGGGTAATCAACATTTCTATCCATAATTGTTACGTAACGAGGTATAGATTCGTGAATACAACATGCTCAATGAGTCGAATTTACCTCAAATCAAGAAGTCAGAACTTAAAGAGAATCATGAGGTAAACAGATCTCCATTTTTTTTCCGTACATTTGACCTACCATTATATGATTGTGCGTTTTTTTTCTTGTTCCAGTTTTCTAGAACTTTCTCTGTTGTTCTTAAACATGAGCATGACATGGTCATCGAGTTAACTAATTTTAAGCTTATATTCTTTTTCTTAACCTATGATCCTATACAGTTAGTCTTTTATTGATAATGCGTAACTTCATTAAGTGACTCTTCGACATTAGAAAACTTCAATATGGTTGCATCAGGTCTATCTTCAAGAAGTTTAATTTGAGATTATAAGATGCTTAATTAAAATCATAATAGTGAAAACTTCCATTTTGACATTTGGTAAATAAAGAAGAAACGAATCAAGCGAAGAAATTTCTTTTCAATTAGTTTATCATCATGTTAATGTGGGTACCCGATGAAATTCATCGACAAACACATGGAGGAGATGAAAAGAAAAACAATGATACCTACCGTTTCTAAGAAAGTATTGTTCATAAAATTACAATTCCTAAAGGACACTATTGAGGAAATTGCGACTTAGAGACTAAGAAAAGCGGTATAAAAAACATTTATGGCAGCCTGACTAAGTGCTATCTTCTGCAACCACCCCACAATAAGAACGGCCAATAAAGACAGGTTACCTGAATTCTCCAAATCCATGTGTATTTATCAGTTCAACTGCTCCTGTGGAGCTAGTTTTATAGGGCGTACAATTCGGCAAGTTCGTCATCGTATAACAGAGCACTATCCATCGTGGTTGAGCAAAGGACGGGTAAGAGTGATTAAGAGTTCTATTCTCGCTCACTTGGTTGACACAGATTATCAAGTTGAACTGAATACAGCTTTTAAGGTTATCCACCATATTCCATCAAATTTGCCACATGGTTTATGGGTGCGTCTTTTGCATATTGCTGAAGCCATTGCAATCCAAATTCATAAACCTAACCTTTGCATCCATAAGAAGTTTGTACAACCACTTTCACTACCTTGGCCATCGGTATAGGGGCGTTTATAGCAGAACCGTTTGTGCACTTCCATTTTTTGTTTGTTTTTTTGAATTTTGTATTTTTTCTCAACATTCATCTGTTGATTCTTACATAACTACTATTCTACTGACACTTCATTAAAATACTCAGTTCCTTCTACTTTTCTTATATTATGAAACATAGCAACTGCTTGATGCAGTTGCGTGCTTTCCTCAGTGTGTGTGCTATCCACTTCCAGCGCTTCTTCCTGATTTATTCCTCCACTGCGATCTGATTTGTTCTTTCCCACAGTACGTTGTTGCTAATAGTGTCCGGTCAACGGATCCGAAGAATTTTACGTGAACGACTGTTAATAAACACTTGTGACTTCTGGATGATGACTTTTGTAGTTCTCCAAGTTTCTGCCCCATACAGTAGAACTGTCTTGACATTTGTATTGAAAATACTGACCTTGGTGTTGGTTGACAGTCAGCTATTTTGATTTCCATATATTCTTCAGTTGTAAATACACTGCTCTTGTTTTACTGATCCGCGCCTTCATATCTGCATCAGATCCACCTTGTTCATCAATGATGCTGCCTATATATGTAAATGTTTTTACATTTTCCAAATCTTCTCCGTCAATTGTGACTGGATTGGTGCGTGCTGTGTTGTATCGGAGAATCTTGCTTTTCTCTTTGTGTGTATATTGAGACCTACTGCTGTTGAGGCTGCTGCTACACTGGTCGTTTTCTCCTGTATTTATTGTTGTGATTCCGATAAGAGGGCCAGATCATCTGCGAAGTCCGCCTAGAGTCCCTCCGGGGGCTACTGCCGGTCCCAAGCCTGGATAAAGGAGGAGGGTTGGGCATGGGGTTAGCGATCCCATCCCGTAGAAAACTAACTCGCTAACGTATCCAGTCGATGAGTACTATTTTATTATTGTATGTATATAGATGTAGAATCGTAATAACTAATAATGATCATTGATAAATTTAACCTAGAAAATATCTGGTACCTTAATCACCTCAAAATCTGTTGCCATCATCAATAGTATCAACCTTTTCTTGTAATTAAACGCGAGTTATCATTATTTCATCAATAATTCATTCATTAATTTCATTACTCTAAATCAATTATCATTTCAGAAGGGATTTTTTTAATGTGCATATGATAGTAATTTTAATAGATGAAATCATCAGTCCATTAAGGAATGTAGAAGATTTGAAGTTCAGGTGGATAGAGTTTGTACTACTGATGATATCATTTAAAAGAATGATAAAAACTTCACAACCAAACCATCCAAATCAGAGAAAAAATCTCTATCAAAATCAATTGAAGAGTCCTAAAATAGAACAAAATATCTATCCAATACTTCCAGGTATTCCATGATGATCTAACTTCAATTAACTCATGATCTCAATTACCGTTTGTTTAGATTATAGCAACTCATGTGGAATTGAGTTTGTTCTCATTTAACTCAATTAAGCCTTTTTGTTAACTTATTTAGAGGACAAAGTCATCCATACTATAACAACTTATTGTGCCTTTATTATTGTTGTGCTTGTATGAAATATGTATGCTTGAACATTGTTTACCGCCTACTCATATATCCATTGTGCTAGCTTTATTATTAACGGCTTAATTGATTCTATGATCCATTCATTTCCCTATATATTTATACATGTGCATTTACACTCTACACACTCTACACTCTCGGTTCACTGATTCATTCATTTGCCTCTCCGCTTTGTGGTCTGACTTATCTGCTAATAAAACTGTAGTCGCTGTTTCTCTTTACCTTCTGATTTCAAACACCGTTGAGGATTATATGATAACGGTTACGAGGGTGAGTGGTCAACGATGCACAGCCACTACAAGATTATGTAATTTATTGATTTTATAAGTTAATTATTTATTTTTTTCTTTAATTTGTTTTCTATTCATCAATAGATCCAAATATATACGCATCATTTGATGAATTCAGTATCAATGGTATGGATAATCAAAAGAATTTTATTAAAAATCAATCATCTTCACATAAAACTTCTAGTAAATTATGTGGTTGTTTCACAAGAAGATAATAAAGTGAGATATTTATTTGGAAGAAAGCATTTATTATAACAAATGAACATACTACTTACTTGCTTACTTACTTACCTACCTACCTACTTACTTACTTACTTACTTACTTACTTACTTACCTGCTTACCTACCTACCTACTTACCTATCTAGCTACCTAGTTACCTACCTACTAACCTACTTACTCACTTGCCTATCTACCTACCTACTTACTTATCTGCTTACCTACCTACTTACCTACTAACTTACCTACTTACCTACCTATCAACCTCCTACTTGCTGACTTGCTTACTCACTTACTTACTTATGCCTGTTACTCCTAATGGAGCATAGGCCACAAACCAACATTTTCCAACTCGCTAAAAAGGCGCCAACTAGAAAAAGCAATTCAAATGCACATATAAAATATATATATTGATTGTTGAATTACTGGAATTGGGATTTCTTTTCTTCATTTGAACATGTAATGCATATACATAATTAACGTTTCCTGTTATTATTATTATTATTGTCATTGAGGTTAATCAATTGAATAATTCATTGTTATTTGATTAATTTAAAAGTTGAATTCATGAGTCCATTGAAGCTGGACCACCATGGAAAACCTCAAAGTACTAGACGGCCATTTCGTTCTAATATGAGACTCTTCAGCAGTGCACATTCACAATCCCGCCACGCGAGATTTGAGACTGACAGATCCTGGTTTCGAATCTCGCGAGGGTGTATCGTGAATGAGCACTGATGAAGAGTACCATAGTAGAACGAATCGGCTATCTAGTACTTTGAGGTTTTCCATGATTGTCTAGCTTCAATGGACTCATGAATTCAACTATTATCTTACTATAATATTCACAAAAACCCATCTTTGATTTGATTACTTGGTTGAGAAATGACTGTGATCATTTTTAATGATGTTTTAAAAATAATTGAGATATTTTGAAAAGTTTAAGTAATAAGATAGTAAATAATAGAGAAAATCTGTAGCTTAACTATATATATCTTCGTTAGCATTGTGTTACTAAAGGTGAATAATTTACTTACTAGGCTTCAGTGTAGATGCCATCGACCTGACTCCAAAGAATCAACAATTTGAGATTTCAAAAAGAGCAAGAACAAAGATTGGTACAGTTTGTTTATGTATTTTTGGTAAATGAGATCCACGAAGTTGTAGATTATTGTAAGTGGAATTATCGATCATCATCTTCTTCAGGAGATCCCTGAATACTTTTGCGATTCCTTTTTTTCAGCTGAATCAGTTAAGTGCTTGTTACTTTTATCAAACTTAAATCTCATGTGGTCACATAAAATGGACTTTATCTTAGAGACATAATCTGTTTTGTTCATTAGAACAACAGTTGAACCTTTATCTGACCATAATATCATTAGATAATCATTTCGCTTAATATTTCTTAATGCTGTTAGGTGGTCTTTGGATTGATAAGTCTTGCGGATTTGAACGCTATATTCGTCTCCTAAGCTATTCTGTAACTTCCAAACTAGAACTATACGGCGACCTGAACATGAGATAGAAGACTCAAAGTATGCGAGAAGTAGTTTACTCGAAGGTTCATTTTAATATAGAAAATACAGGGTCTTTATAATATTTTAAATGTCCTTGGGTCGCTGGAATATTCTGGAATGCTACTAAACATATTAGCAGTGTAGCAGCCAACCAATCAGAGCCTCTGCATGTGACGTTTCGCTTCCTTGATATTTCTGGCCAAGACTCCAAGTGAACGCTGATTGGACAAAACGCTTCTTAGTGCTTCCTGATGCTTGCTTGTCTTTTGCAAGCAATTTTCTGGATCACCCCAACAGGATAAAAGTTTAGACTGTGGTGTGGGTGAGACGAGATATCGCTTTGCGATATCATCTAATTTAGATTTAAATCAGCTTCTCTTCTCGTCACTAACTGGGTCCAACTCTTCAATTTGATCGAGTAAATTCTCAATTTGAGTTTCTGTGTCGATTCTGTCGGTATGTATTTCAGGGATATGGAATTTAAATCCAAGCAATAAAGCTTCTGCACCAATCTTTGTTCTTGCTCTCTTTAAAGGAACTCTGTGTATGAAATTCGCGATTTTTTCACGATGTTTTATAAGTTAGATATTGTCGACCAACCACTTTTCCAACAATCAAAAATCAAAAATTGTAACGTCTAAGATCCAAATATTTCGATCTGAAAACAGAAAACGATCCAAAAAAAATAGGGATACATTTTATTGTGCTAAATCACTGGATTCTCTTGTATAAAGTACGAAGATTCGTTGGGTCATCCATAATTGACGAATATTTCTTAATGATATTAAAGTCCCGTGACTTCCGAAGAATTTTGGCTTTCATCCTAAGGCATCATAATTCTTCCTTCAACTCTCAGGTTTAATTTGTTTAGTCTGGTTGGGTTTTTTTAGCAAGATTTTCCTCTACATAATGGAATTGCCGACCCCATGCCCAACGTTTCTCCTCTATCCGTGCTTAGGACCGTCAAAAACTCCAGGAGAACTACAAGCGGAGTTAAAGCATAAATTGGTGCATGAATATTTATGATACTATTGAGTAATAATAAAGCATAACAAAATGTCCAAAATAATTCATCAATACTGTCGAATTATTACACAGTCGAATACTGAGAAGTGGTTAAAAATCAAAATCTGTATCTGGAGTAAATGTTTTTTGGGTTCAAAAATTGGTGGGAGGTTGAAAACAGCAATCTGTTTATAATAATAGGTCATAAACCAAACGAAGGATCAAGGATTATCTTAAAAACCAGTACCAAACTATCTTCTTACTTCGTAGGAGAATCCATTTTCCTTTAACGAAATAAACATATGGAATGACTCAATTTCGGTTTTTCATTTCTGCCTTATGACAATCAGTGTGTTCACCACCACTACACTTCTGTCCATCTTTTTATTCTGAATAGTTAACTATGATCAGTATAATGAGCTTACTTACGTTATTCAGTAACCACTATCAATCTATGAGTGTAAAATACAGTTATGTGGTAATTTAACTCATAGCTTTACGTGAAAGCCACATAACCAGATGAATCTGTAACTTGAACTAACTTAACACAGTTATAAATCTCTTCTGCTACTTTCATACATTTGAAAGAACAAATAAACACTTGCTGGGCAGAGATACTTTTATATTGTAGCGTGGAGTTGACTATGAACACCACTACAAGAAAACTATGTGCCAGTTAATCGATAAAATCCCCCGTAAGCCAAATACCAGAAGGCAGTTGATGGCTGTAGTCGAGATGTATTTGTTGGCGATCTCATGGTATCGAAAGGATACCGAGATCGTGCCAACGGAGTACAAGTGTGGTTACCGAGCCTAACCGAACCTGTGCAAGGTCACAATCAATCGAAGGATAATGGAGCAGTAAATTGGCTATCTTCAGCACAACTTCGTGACCAACAGGCAGGATTCCGTAAGGAAAGATCGTGTACAAACCAAATCGCAACTCTACGGATCATTGCGGAACAATCAATTGAGTGGAATTCATCACTCTACATCAACTTCATTGACTACGTAAAAGCATTTGAAGGCGTGGACAGGACAACACTATGGAAGCTTCTTCGATACTACGGCGTGCCTCAGAAGATATTCAATATCATGCGGAATTCCTGTGGTGGATTAAACTGCAAAATTGTGCATGGAGGACAATTGACAGACTCGTTCGAGGTAAAGACCGGTGTCAGGCAAGGTTGTTTACTCTCACCCTTTCTCTTTCTCCTGCTGATCGAATGGATCATGAAGACGTCAACATCTGAAGGGTAACACGGGATACAGTGGACTTCTAGGATGCAGTTAGATAATCTAGACTTCGCAGATGATCTGGCCCTTCTATCCCAAACGCAACAACAAATGCAAGAGAAAACGACCAATGTAGCAGCAGCCTCAGCAGCAGTAGGTCTCATCACACAAAGGAAAAGCAAGATTCTCCGATACAACACAGCATGCACCAATCCAATCACAATTGACGGAGAAGATTTGGAAGATGTAAAAACCTTTACGTATTTGTGCAGCATCATTGATGAACAAGGTGGATCTGATGCAGATGTGAAGGCGCGGATCGGCAAAGCAAGAGCAGCATATTTACAACTGAGGAACATCTGGAACTCAAAGCAACTGTCAACCAACACCAAGGTCAGGATTTTCAATACAAATGTCAACACAGTTCTACTGTATGGGGCAGAAACCTGGAGAACTACAAAAACCATCATCCAGAAGTTACAGGTGTTTATTAACAATTGTCTACGCAAAATACTTCTGATCCATTGGCCGGACATTATTAGCAACAACGTACTGTGGGAGAGAACAAACCAGATCCCAGTGAAGGAAGAAATTAGGAAGAAACTCTGGAAGTGGATAGGACACACATTGGAGAAAGTACCCAAATGCGTCACAAGATAAGCCCTCACATGGAATCGTCAAGGCCAAAGGAGAAGTGGAAGATCAAAGAACACATTACACCGGGAAATGGAAATAGACATGAGAGAAATGAACAAGAATTGGATAGAACTAGAAATGAAGGCCGAGGACAGAGTGTGTTGTAGAATGCTGGTCAGCGGCCTATGCTCCATTAAGAGTAACAGTTGAAAGTAAGTAATTTTTAAGTAGGCACATTTAAACAAACGAGCACAGTAAAACAATCACTGGTACAATCTGTTATACTAATAATTGTTTCTATTATATCAATCGCGTTCTCTTGATAAAAGTAGGTCACCACAAGATGATAACAGAAAGAAGCTAAAGATAGACAGCTAATGACGTATTGGCACACGTATCAATCTCCATATGAGATGGGTTGATAATTCACATTACCGATTGTTGATCTTCTAGGAGTTAAAATAGGCGACATGAAGTTTTATAATCAATCATCAGTACAAATGAATAATTTTAATAAAGTTGAGGATTACTTTAATAAATTTCTAATAGTTGGAAGAAAAAAAGTAGCTGGATTCAGTAGAAGTTCAAGTTTAAGAGGACCTTGACACGAGTTGCATCCTCTAGTTATTGAGAATTTGAAAGCGTGTGTTAATCAAGGTGACAGAAACTATTAGAAAAGCAATGTATAATAACAATGTGATGATACATGTAT